CACACTCAACCTACAGCACCAACATTGCTTCTCCACATTCACCGTCTGCTCTGTGCACTTAACAAGGTGGGCTCTGGGGGGCGGGGAGCTGTCCCATGACAGGGACCCTGTTTCCTCTGGAGGTCTCAAGGGAGAATCTGTCTCCTGGGCCTTTCTGGTCCTGGAAGCTGCCCACAGTCGCTGGCATGCAGCCCCTTCCCCCCTCTCCAAAGCCAGCCATGGCAGGTGAGATCCTGTCAGTCTGTTCTGGCCCCTGTCCACACATCTTTTGTGACTCTTCTGCCTCCCTTGCCCTTTTAAGGAGACCAGACCAGGCCCATAGGACAGCACTGTGGTGCAGCTGGTGAAGCCAGCACCCCACATGCTGCTAAGTTCCAGCTACGCTGCTTCTGGGATGGCGGGTAGCCCTCCAGTTGGGCTGCCCTGTGTCTCATTATCACTGTGTCTAAGTTTGCTCAAGGTCCCTTTATGATTCCAGCCCAAGTCACTGGGGCCCTGCCACCCGTGTAAGACTCGGATGGAGCTGTGGGTTCTTTCTTGGATTTGGCCTGGCCCGACCCTGGCTGGCCCAGGCATTTGCGGGGTGAATTGGTGGGTGGGGGGGTGCACTTTCTCTCTCCCTCCCTCCTGCACATACATAATTAAGCTAATCTTCAACACAGTGAGTTTTGATATGCTATCAAATGCCCCCAATTAAGCAATAAGGCAATTTCTCGCCCCTCCTTTATTTCACTATCTGCAGATGCCAGATTTTCACCCAAAACCAGGATCACCACAGAGCTGAGAACTGAGCCATCTGCTGCGAAGCAGTGAATTCCACAAACATCGAACAGCCCCCATCTTCCCACTCAGCCCCCTCCTTCGAGAAAACAGTGACTTTACACTGAAAATAATTCTATCTACATTAACATGCGTGCATTCCTGCTTTAAATAAATCACTGGAGAACTAGGCTTTCCCCACCCCCAGTTTTAATTTCTAATGTGAGTAATGCAGACAGATGCCATCAGAAAAACAAAGGCTTGTAGGGGTCCTCAACTGGGTGAGATGCGAGGCCGTCCTGAGACCCGGAAGTCTGCAGAATGCCGTCTTCCTAGATGAGGTTACATCCATGGCGCTTTATTGCAGCATGATGCCAGCAGAATGGGGTGGGGGGAGTGAAGTGGCAGCAAATAAAATGCCCGATAATAGGAAAATGGCAAAATAAATCACGGTACCTCCACTTAGTCCAACATTATACAGTCATTACAAATTACGTTTTCAAAGAGTATTTATTGTTATGGGCAAGTGTTCAACACACTCGACATGCTGTTAAAAGATTTAAAAAGGAAGAGAAGCAAATTTTCATTATCTTCATTTCTGTGAAGTCTTAATTCTCAGGGAAATGATGACACCGAGGTGGCTGGAGCCAATCAGCACACACAGCCAAGGGTTGTCACCCGGGCTGCAGGCTCTCCACGGCTGTGGGCCTGGGGCCACCCCGGAACAAGGTCCCAGATGTTCTCAAACCATCATGTAGCCCTCCTGTCTTACGTTCATGAGACCAAACCTCCAATCCAAGCACCCCCATCTCATGCCCCCCAACAAAAGAACATTCTATACCCCCTAACTCTCCCAAGCTTGACGTTTTAAAATCAGATTTATTTATTTGAAAGACACAGTGGCAGAGAGGTGGAGAGATCTTCCATCTGCTGGTTTACTACCCAAATGGTCTTAATAGCCAGAGTTGGGCCAGTTTGTAGCCAGGATCCCCAAAAAACCCCCTGCCTGGACCTCTCACAGGGGGGAGGCCTGAGCGCTTGGGCCATCCTCTGCTGCTTTCCCAGGCCACAGGCAGGGAGCTGGATGGGAAGAAGAGCAGCTAGCAGTGAACTGGTGACCACGTCAGATGCTGGTATACAGGCATTCAGACCACTGTGCCACCATGCCAGCCCCCAGGTCTAATCCATTCCTTGGTTTTGTGGTAGGGTCGTGACTTGCTTGTCCTCTCACACCTGAAACATTCAGGTCTCATCCACACGACAGGACCAGCGTAGCATGGAGGGTAGAAAGACCCACCGCATGGGAGTCCCCACGAGAGGGACACCTGCTGTGGGCAAGCAGCCCTGGCACCTGCCGCTTGCACTGCTGTGCGTTTATGCTCACTCTCTTTACGCCGGCCACAGAGACCTCGCTGAGCCCAGCCTCCTTCTGCCCACCCCTGCCTGCAGCTCAGCCCCCTCACGCTGTGGTGAATGAAGAAGTAAGTTATTTGGCAGAACTGCTGGCATGATGGGCAGGGGGCTAGGAGGTGCCCACTGCTCTGCCTTTCAGGGCTGCTACCTTGAACTTGGTGTCTCCAGGGGTCTGGGCTGCCTGTAACAGCACCTGCCAGTGGATCCGAGGAGTGCGCTAAGCCCAGAAACATCATGATGTTACTTTCATCAAGGGAACTGCAGTTCAGAGAGGTCTCTCAGGGGTCACACACCTGGGAGGTGGCAGCACCGGGGTGCAAGCCCAGCTCTGACTCCCAAGCCCATCATCCCAGGAGCTGGCTGAGCTGACTTCCTGCCTCTCTGTCCAGCTCCATCCCCAGCGGCCACGTGGGAGGGCAGCTGAGCTGTGCCTGGGCAGTGTGAATATCTCTACACTTGCAGTTCACAAGCACCATGGCCTTGGCCAAGCTGCTTGCTCTCCCCGAGCCCCACGCAGGGGGCCCTCTCGTGACACAGGCCACAGGTCCCACACAGCACAGCTGCTCGATCAAGCTCCCCTCTGGGAGGGCTGGAAGCCTGCTGCCTGCAGCATCTCCTCCATAAGAGTGGCCTCACAGAGGTGCATATCTGGGTGGCCCTGTGGTGACAGAGACTCACACAGCACAGAGTCCAGAAGATTCCCACCCCTAGGCCGCTGTCTGTGGTTCTAGTTATTTATGGCCCACCGCAGCCCACAAATATTGAATGGAAAATTCCAGAAACAGACAACTCATAAATTTTAAATAACTTTCATGATAGTGCATGGTTGCCATCGTTCTATTTTTATTATTGGTTACTGCTGCTAGCCTCTTAAAGGGTCAAATTTATGAATGAAATGTGGCCTTGGATGCTTGCGTGCTCAGGAAAGGACATGGGGGGCAGCACGGGGAGCAGAGCCCAGGTTTGGCAGCAGCTGCTATTCCGCAGAGTGTCCAGGGACAAGGTCTCCTGCAGGGCCAGGGTCACTGCATGCAGCTCGAAGCCTCGTGGGCTCAGGGAGAAAAGATGCACATAGACCACACCATTGCCACTACCACCTCACCTCTTTCCCAAAAGCTTCTAAGACGCCCACATTACTGACCCACAATTCAGATAAGCAAACTGAGGCTTGGCGTGCTGAGCTTCCATGGTGCCTCTTCCTTTTCCTCTGGGTCCAAGAGCAGCAGGGCGAGGTTCTCTCCTCTTTACAGAACAAACATGGTCATGCTTTTTATCTGGCTGAGAACCCAGCATCCGGGATTCTCCTACCCTGTGGTGTATGCATGTCAGGATGGCAGCTGCTTCCTGAGCCAGTCTTGATGGGGCTCTAAGGCTCCACCCAGGAGTTACCTGGCACCAGGTCAGTGTGGAGGGTGGCTCACCCACATTGGTCTAGAACACCGGATGGTGAGGGCACAATGTGGCAGGACTCCCTCAACGTGCCATGCATGCTGGGTGAAGGCACACAGCCCTGCCCAGCCCCAGAACCTGGTCTCCAAGACGCCACCCAAACATACCCAACTGAAGAGGGCTGTGCACTGCCTCTGGGAGTCACGTGTGTGGCTGCACAGAACTCTGAAAAAGGCCATTGAGTGCCCTGGGCACCAGCTCCTCCTCATGATGATGTCCCAGGCTTCCCGGGGCACAGCTGAACCTGCTGTGCCTGGTGCCTCCCAAGGAGCAGGCCGTCACAGGGTGGGTGCACCACTGAGCTGCTCTGTCCTGGTTGGCCTTCTCCGTCCATCAACAAGGGCACCCCAGCTGCCCTGCTGCTGGACATGGTCACACGGTCTAGCTCGTGCAGGGAAACTCTCAGGTCCCGGGTCTTCCCCTGGCTCTCTGATCAAGCAAGAGGAAGTGGGGATGCCTGCCAGTGTGCACTGCTCCCCAGGAGCTGCTAGAGGAGACACGGGCTCTCCAGCCACACCATCTGGGACCCTTGGGTGACAGTAGCTTCGATTTGCCCTAAACTGACAAGCCTGCTCTGGCTTTAGGAGGACAGAATTTAGAATGAGTCTCTCGCTCTAGTAAATGGCAACGGGAACACATTTTGCAAGGTTTCAGCACCTTTTTTTGAACGCAGGAGAAGTGAAGCCACGAAATGGAGCTGAAGGGGTGCAATGCGAGTTCCACCCTCAATGCATCCTGCCCGGAGCCAGCCGACAGGTGAGAGGATGGCCTTCCCCTATGCCCGCAGTGTATGCAGGGGCCACCCTGAAGAGGAGGTCCTGGGGGCCACAGGGGCCTGAGCTCAGTGCAGGGGAACCAGGTTGAACATATGGCCCTCAAGCCATCCCTGGCTGCAGACACACAGGCTGCAGAGCGGTTGGGGGTCCATGGTCCATCCCACCAGGAGACCACATGGAAGTCTTCCAACTATTGCCACACCCCCTCACCTCGCTGGACTTGTGCAGTGGGAGGCGGGGAGCTACACTGTGCCAGGCACCACAAGAAGAGGCCACCTTGGTGAACAAGAGTCAGGACCCCAAGCAGTCATGGGCAGACTGCCCCACGAGGGGAGGCATGGACAGACCCTGGGAACATCAGGAGAGACCAGCCCAGAGGCTGGCCCAGCATCCTGCTCCAGCACAGACGCCCAGCTACCACTCACAGCATGACAGACAACACACAGTAATCACATGGGAGCAGCAAAGGGACAGGGCAGCCTTGGCTGGGGTGGGTGCTGAGAGAGCCAGAATCCACTCCCACTGCTCCACCTGTAGGGCCCTGGGGCCCCTGGGTGCTGAGCCCGCGCCCCGGGCAGGACAACCAACAGCACTGTCACTCACCCTGCAAGGCTTCTTTGGCTCTGGCCAGCTCCTGCTCCTTCTGGGCCAGCTGGACCCTGAGCTCGGTGGCCGAGAGGACCTCGGAGGCCTTGCCGCCCTGCGACTCCTCCAGGTCCTTGGCCAACATCTCCTTCATCTGCCGGAGAAGGTGCACTTCCTCCTGGAGCCGGGACACTTCTTCTCGCAGTAGCACTGGCGGGGAGGGAAAGAGGCATACAGTTAGAGCGAACGGTCACTGGCTGCCACCCCCCAACTCCCTGCCTTGTACCCACAGCCTTTCCCACAGGTGTACAGGGAAGATCCCCTCCCCCAACCCAAGCCCCCCTTGGTCCTGGTCCTCCCTTCCCCACAGTCTGCACAGCACACCTGGTGAAGCTCCCCACCCCACCCTACCCCATCACATTCCTGGGGCCTCCCCTGCTGCTGTCACTAGGGACGAAGTCCATCTGACGGCCAGCAGGTGAGGAGTCACCCTTCCAGCCATGAGCCAGCAACGTGCCAGGTTAAACCTGATAGGCCTGACCACTGGTAATCCACCAGAACCCTCACAGCCCCCATTTTATAGACTGGGACATTGAGGTTCAGAGAAATGAAGTAACTCCAGTAAGCCAGAAAGTCAGATATTAGCAGAGCCAGTATCTGAACGTGGGCCTGGCTGGTGGAAAGGCAGAGGCACGTCTCACAGCACACGGCCTTGAGCTCTGCGCCTGTAGGAATGGAACCTCGGTGCCCACCCGAGTGTCCAGGAGGAGAGCAGGGCCTGGTGAGCGGTGACACCAGCAGCACTGCAACTCACACCTGTCCCCATGCCCGGAGAGTCCCCAAAGATGAGGTGAAGGAGTGTGTGCAGTCCCCTGGGCCCTGGGTGCCTTGGGAAAGTTCCAGCAGGTGCAGTACCACCCCTATGGCAAGGCAGACTTGGGAGGCGTCATGAGCCATGCCAGCCCTGGAGACTGCTGCTCCCCAGGCAACGACAAACAGAACCGCTGGAGGAGACGGCAGCCTGGTCAGACTGCATGCTAGAGATAGGTCTGCCAGTTCTTGAGAAGGTACCCCAGGAGAGTAGACCCCCTACCCACTTGCTCCAGATACAGAGGCAGCCTGAGGAACCTTGCAGAGCATGCACCAACGCAGGCCCATGCTGTGGCTTCTGCCCATATCCAAATCCCTCCCCCGCCCACCCTGTGCCCCCATTTTGCACACATTCCAGCCTTGCAAACACTCTGACTGCACATGTCCCAACTTTGCAAACACCTTGTCTTCGCACACGTGCCATGTTCCCTGGCAATGGGGCCCTGACTGCCAGCTGCACCTCTGCCTGCAACAGCCGTCCTTGTTCTTCCTGCAGCCACTTCTTCCATCTGCCTCAGTGACTCTCCATGGAGCTCCTCGCAGAGCCAAGTGGGAAATGCCAGCGTTCACCCCTCCAAGGAATGAGTGCACTTGGTCTGGGCACCTGGGATCCTCTCCCCTTCTCCCTCACTCATCAGTTCTTGCATTCAGTTACTTTGCTACAGCCAAGGTCCACGAGGGCAGGAGCTTTAGTCTGTCCATGGCCAGGTCTCTGCGGCTGCTGCCACACCTACCAGCAGCTGCCCTCGACAGAGCACTGCCCGTGAACAGACCAAATGGCTACGGCTCACCTGCCTCAGGCTGGGTCACCTGTCCTCTAAAGAGGGTGCAGGAAAAGCAGCACATCTTCCCAGGAGTCCAGGGGTGTGGGCCTGGCTAGTGGGGTCCCAGGAGTGCACAGCACTAGAGTCACCAGCTCTCAGGATAAGCAAGTGACAGTGAGCGAGTCCCTTCCTGCCCTGGGCTGCAACATGGTCCAACGCCATGGAGGCTCCACGGTGCCCCAGGAGGGCGCTCTCCTCGCCCCACACTGACAAGGCATCATGGCGACCCAGGCCCAGGAGGGCACTCTCCTTGCTCCACACTGACAAGGCTCCACGGCCGCTTCCCCAGCCCCTCACCTCTGTCTGTAGGCCCTCTCTAGGGCACCTCAACCCTCTGGTTCCCTCAGGGAACCCACTGGCTTGGAGGCTAAATCACATAGGGTGGGTCCAGAGTTGGTTTGCTCCCCTACCCACCAGAGGCCTTATGGAACGTTAGAGTTGACTCCAGCCCACACTCTTATCCATCTCCCATCTCTGCTTCCGAGGCCCCAGGCCCAATGCCTCCTGCACAGTGGAAGCCCACACCCGCTTGCTTGGCTGGCCCCACCCCATGCAGAGCCCCTGAGATGCAAACCACCCTCCCTCATGTTGCGCTGGCACCTAGCACCCACTCCACCCGGTACCTCCCTCAGGTCCCAGCCTTTTTCTCTTCCCTGAGATGCCAGGCTCAGACCGCACCAGGGCCCATGCAGCACTGTCACCTCCAGGGCAGCCCCCAGCCCTCCTCACAGGATCCTTCCTGCCCATGGGTCTCAACTTCAAGGTCACAGCTTCAAAAGACAATCGACTCCTGTCCAGCTGTGCCAGCACTTCAGACAACCGGAACCAAGCCCCTTCCAGTCTGGCAGGTTCGGACAAGGCCCAGTCCTCTGTCCTGCACTTGCACCGCCTTAGGTACAGCCTGGCACATGCTCGGTGACACCTGCTGAGTGATTGAGCCCACCTGACACACTGACAGCCACTGTGCCCTGACAGCTGCCCACTCCAAGCCAGGGGTCTCCTGGTGGAGTGCCCCACACAGGCCTCGCCCCTGGCTTGGTGAGCCTGGATCCAAAGGCCCCTAAGCCCCATGGCCTGGGAAGGCAGGATGTGTGTAGGACGGCACGGATGGACGCAGGTGCAGGTCTGTGTCTCTGAGCCACACAACTCAGCAGGTTTGCTTTGGGGGTTCCTCACCATCCTCACTCCAGACCTATACTCTGGACCATCTCCAAGCCTGGGCGGTGGGGAAGGGGTCTCGTGGGAATGGGCTGAGTGTGCCCAAGGGGCTGCTGTGGGGAGCCTCGGGCAGGTGGGGGGAGAAGCTAATGTTGGGGGGTTTTAATGCTGGCCCTGCTCACAGTAGCACAGGGGTAGTGCTGGGGGCAGGGGGCAGCTGGAAAGGTCACATCACAGAAGGCCTTCTCCCTGGTCATCTCCGTGTCCCGCTGCCACCTCCAGAAGGACCCAAGCCATGAGGCTTCCTCCCTTCCCCACCACTCCCATCACTGTCCTGCCAGGCAGGGCCCCTGTTGCCACTCAGCCATCACTGAGAGTTGATTTCACTGCCAGGCAAGAGTGACTGCTAATGCCTACCCATTTTTACACTCAGGTTTGCTTTCCAGTTTTTTTCCTCTCTATTTTTTAACACCTGCACATTTCTTGCTATCTTCCGGGAAGGTAGGCGATTCCAAGAATCTTGGCTTTAAACCACAGCCTGCGTGGGCCATGCTTGCTGCTGCCGGTCAGAGGCTGCCTGGCTGCCGCCCCCTAAGGGCTGCTGGGAAAGCAAAACAAACCAACCCAACAACCCCCAGGCACAGAGTGAGACTCACCCACAGACAGAGGCTCATTGCTAGGACAAGCACCTTGCCAACGCGGCTCCGAAGGCACCAAGGCTGAAAACAGACTCTGGCACAGCTGATTGGGTTGAAATTCAACCAACTCCCACCCCACAGGATTCTGGCACAAGAGAATACGGTGTCCCCAAGAGGGGCCGGGGCTCGGTCTCCTCTGCGCCCTGAACTTGGAGGGCAGAGAGGTGGGGCTGGTGTCACATGCCTCCTTGACTAAAGGTGGCAAAGGCAAACTTTCTTCTGGGTTCACCTTCCAAACAGGTGTACCTGACACCCAGCAGCTTTCCCCGCCCTGCCAGCAAGGATCTGTAGGGCAGGGGAGCTCCGAGGGCGGGGTACCAGGTGCAGCACCTGCAGAAGCCAAGTCTGGGGAGGTGGGGCTGGAGAAACACCTCCAGGGAGAGAGTGCATCCGGCACCTGCCCAGATCTCCACGCCCCAGACCCTTTCAGAAGCAGACATCATCCCGGCTTTGCCCAACTTCTAAGACCAAAAGCAGGCTCGTTGGCTCCCTGGGCCTCATGCATGAAATGGGGGCAATGAAGAGAAACAATAACAAAATTTTAAAAAACAAACAAACATGGGCAGGGCACTGTGTGTGTGTGTGCTCCTGACCACACTACAGGGAGGGACTTGCTATGTGACCCTGGGGCAAGCCACTGGCCCTCTCTAAGCCCTCAGGTAAATGTCCTTGGAGGAAACCACTCCTTATGATTCTGGAGGAATTGGGGGAACAGAGGCCCAGGGCTCTAGCCCACAGCAGTTCTGCTCAGGACAACAGCCGCTGGGCACACGCAGTTAAGTTAAACTCAGGCCTCTTGCTGCATTGGCAACAACACCTCAAGTGTACGCAGACACAGGCACAGATGGAGGTGAGGGTCCCGGGACACGCAGCCTGCGGCCAGGATTGCTGGCGGTGGGAAGAAGCAGCGTTATTTCTGATGCACCTGCCACAGGGCAGCCTCAGAGTTCGCTGCCAAAGACAGGGGAGCTGCAGGGGAGGGAGACTGTTTCTGGAGACACTGCATTGGCCCTTGGCCAAGGACCAAAACAAAAAAAAATCCAAGATCATTTGTGTACCTTTCCGCCAATGCTGGATAGCTGAAGGGCCCCAGAGCTGGAGAGGGGGACGGGGTGGGGAGTAGGGGGAACCAGAAGGTGGAGGTGAGGCCAAAAAAAGCCACAGGCGCAGAGGCCCCTGGGTTGTGAAAGCCAAAGGTGAGTGTTGCCTGGGAGATGTAGCTCTCCCGGCTTGGGGCAGCTGCCAGTTCCCTGTGGTGCTGTGCCAGGGGTGACTGTGCCACTCAGGGGCTCCCAGGTGCCTTCCCCCAAGGGCCACGAGCTTCAGCACACCCACAGAGGGAAGGCCACATACAGGAGGGCGATGCCAGCTGGGGCAGGTCCCGGCTTTCTGCAGCCCACCTCCTCTGGTACACAAGGGCATCCAGCCCCACTCTCCCCGAGTCTCCCCGGCCTCTAGGGTTGCCCAGGTGCTCACAAAGGTCCCTAAAGAGAACCGACTGCCCTTTCAGACAAAAGGGGACTCGGCAGGCAACCCCTTTAGACTTCAAAGGCTCCACACTGAGTGTGAGTGTGTGAGCCTGGCTTCCCTCAGCCAGGGTCTCCTGAGCGGCAACATCACAAGCGCTAGTTAGAACACAGCAGCGGTGCCTTCGTCAGCG